TTAATCGATTAAAACGCTGTGTAGAAATTTTCTAAGTTGTTTTAATCGATTGAAACGTGTTTTAATCGATTGAAAAAGCTCTGATCGGTCATAACTCAATTCTGATCGATCATATCTGATTCTGATCGGTCATAATTACATTCTGATCGATCATCCTGAACTCTAAGTGGTTTTAATCGATTAAAACCAAGTTGTATCGATTAAAATACCGCAAAAACACTTCTCTTAACATTTTAAGTGTTTTTAATCAGTTATTTCGAAGCTTTATAAGTTAAAACACTGACAGAAGGTTTTCAAAACTTTCTTTAATGAAAACAACCGGTTATTTCGAAATTATATCAGTTAAAAACTTGTTTAAGAAAGCTTTTGTTAAAATACTTTGTTTTTAACTGCTTAAACGTATTTAGAGGCATTTTGCAAAATATTTTAAGTGAAGAAACCTCATGCAGCAGAAAAGATAAAAATGATTATACCTAAGCATAGCTAAAGACACACTAATTCCTCTACTCTTTTATCAAAGTGATCATTGACCGCTACAAAGTTGACTTTGACTTTATCTTTGACTTCATCAAATCAATAAGATCTTTGTCGAGTGTTTCAATAAGATCTTCATCACTTTCATACAATAATTAATATTCTTAAGTAATTTATATTTTTATTTATAATTGTTTAATATATATTTGAGAAATTAATCAATTATAATCTATTATTTGAAAAACTAATCAATTATTTAGAAAACTAATCGATTATAATTAATTATTTGAAAAATTATCCAATATGATCGGTTATTTGAAAATTTAATCGATCATAATGGTTGTATATGATAGCGGTTCCACTCGAACCGCTCTTAAAACAGAACATCTAATAGCGGTTAAACCTTAACCGCTATCTAAAATATAGTTTAGATAGCGGTTAACGTGGAACCGCTATTATATAGTTTCAAATATAAATTTAAATATATTTTTTAATTTATTTAAATATGCTTTATTTTTAGTATTTATAAAATAGATTAGTTTTAAATTTTTAACTTTTCTAGCGAGTCTATTTTTAATCTTTGTTATTAATTATGTTAAAAATGAAAAAATATTAATTAGTATACTTAAACTAATGTATATTGATTATCTAATGTATATTGATATAATTTTTTTGTATATCAATTATATGAAAATAACCATGGTTAAGTAATTAATAATAATAAAGCAATAAATTTAAAGATTAGATTAAAAATAAAGTTTTATAAAATAAAATTGTAATAATTTGATTAAAATTTTATTTTCTTAATTAATTAAGTTAATGAGGAATTAAAATGTGATCATTTGATGTGTTTAATTTTTTTAATATAAATTTTTAAAATATAATTTAATTTCAATTGAAATTTTCAATTGAAAAATAAATTAAAGAATATTTATTATTAAACTTTTCTTAAACAATGTATTGAATAGTTAATATTACTCTAGTATTAATTTATTACAATTTAAATTTTTAATAAATTTGATTTATTTTTAATAATATTTTTATTTTAGTAATTTAAAATTAAAGTTAATCTTCATTTTGTTAATATTGAGACCAAAGTTTATTTTTAAAGTATCTTTTAAAAATTAAATTATTTTTAGAAAATAAATTACTTTTAAAAAATAAATTGTCAAAAATATACTAAAACAATTAAAGTATATTTATAAAAAATAAATTTAAATATCATAAAAAAATAATGTTTGTTAGCGACCGATTTAAATTCGGTCGCTATTTTCTCATTAGCGATCGATTATAATTCGGTCACTATTTCAATTTGTAATTCAGTCGCTAAATCAGTCGCTAAATGATTTTTTTATTTTAGTGTGGAATAGCCATCGATTTAGCGACCAAAATTTTGCGACGCAAACTATTGGTCGCTATTTCGGTCACTAAATAACATAATGAAAACCAATTCATATTTTGGTCGCTAAATCGGTCTCTAATTGCGACCGAATTAAAGTGGTCGCTGAATCTGTCAGCTAATCACGATCGAAAAATTCTGGTCGCTAATTTCGGTGGCTAAATGTGATTTTTCTTGTAGTGCAATTGGATATAAGTGATTCATTGTGCAAAAGGGAAATGAAAATTGTAAAGTTGTAAGATATAAAACCCAACTAATTATTTAAGAATTTTTTATCATATCCATTATTAATTTTTGAATTACTTATAATTGATGAAAATACTTTTAGATATTTAATTAATTTGTTGCCACTGTTCATGAAAACTGAATTGGACTAGTCATGTATATCATTTTACTCTTTATTTCTTGATATAAGAGTATTTTTTAAGTTAGTTATTTTATTCATAAATCATGTATTTAACCTCGTTTTCATTAAAAGCGTAGCATAATTAAAATTTTCTTAATTTGTTGCATTTTACGTAGTTTTAGCATAATGAATAATATACATGCATATATCCACATTGCATATTTCTTTTTCTTCTTTTGTAGGAGAGGTAATTTGAGATGACACTACTAGAAAAATGTTAAATAGTAACCGAAATCGGTGATCTGAATTAGTAACCAAATTATTATTTTTTAGTTTAGTAACTGAATTTTCGATCATATAAAATCAATTACTATTTCAATCACTAATTTATTTAATTTAATTTTTTTAATTAATCTAATTAGTATTTACGAGCCATTTAATTCATCTAATTTTATTCCCCTCCCAAATTTGCATCTTCTTCGCGATCACATTAATCACACATATCTGATCTTGTAGCTCCCAAATTTTCATCTTCTTCCTGCTCACATTAATCACACTGATCCGACCTTTGAATCCCACCATTCTTGTTCGAGTTTAATTTGACCTAGACCCTTCATCTCTCCATCCCCAATCCTCCACCCTTCAGTAACTAACTCAGAAGTGATCTTTAGCCTAAAATGTCTGAAACCCAACGTCCATGATCTTCAGCTTGAAACCCAACACGACAACCTGAAACCCAACTCCGATGGCCTAAAATCCAACCCAGTGACCTTAGATCTCAAACCTCAGTGACCAAAACATCCAATCGAAACCCATGCGACTTCGAACCTCAACCCCAACCTCAACCTCGACAAACTCGAGGCCCAAACCCAACTCCAGAGGCATCGAACCCCAATCTCAAGCCAAAACCAAATCGTGGTGCTGTCAAACCCAACGAAAACCCAACTGACCTCAAACCCTAACTCAAACACCAGTGACATCGAAACCTAACATCAAACCCTGACGAACTTGAATCCTAACCCGATGACATCAAATCCCATCCCAAAACTTCATGACCTCTAACCCGAGCATAGGTCATCACGAACACGACCTCTATAAACACGGTAATGCTTATTCAATCCATTTGAATTTCCTTATTCAATCTAGTTTTACATGGTACTATGTGTTGATGGATGCAGGGGTGGTGCTACGAAAGCAAATTTCTTATCTTGATCTACTAGATTACAAATTGGAAACTTGAGTAATAGCTCCTTTAGGTTGATATTATTGAATCTTTAAATATAGTTCTTGAAAAGAAAAGAGTGATGTATACTTGTTGTATGTTTAATAAATTTTGTGATTCTACAATTAGCTTCAAGATTAATGGTGAGTGGAAAGTGGAAATTGCAAAGTTAGCCCGTGAAAGTTGATTTCTTAAGCCATCAGAAGAAATAGATTTGGTGTTTGACCATGACGTTTTGGCTTTATGACTTGTTTATAATGTAAGTTGATATGCTAATGATACAGTTTACTGTGCGTTTCCTCTAACTGTCTTTGTTGAATTGCGAAAATTGTATGCCATACTGAAGCTACTGGTGCGTACGTTACTATGATGTCAAAATTGAATTCAAAGACCCCAAGTGGTGCTCCTATGAATAAAATTAAGTGAATGGGAAGGATTTATTAATGGTCTTTAGTGAGGATGACAATACCGTTATGAATTTATTACCTCAAATTGTCTTTTTGGCATATGTTAGGCATGGGTTATTGGTGACAAATATTTTGTTCCAAGATAAATTTGTTGAGTCTCCAATTGGAAATTGCCATTGTTATAGTTGGAGAAGAATCTATAAGTCATTGAATTCCAGAGAGTGGTTGCTGGCACATTGGAAATGGAGCCAAGTTTGTATAAATGGCATGCCTATTGGTTCCTTAAGCCAAAATGGTTTGTGCATATGGAGCCCATGCTAGGGCCCTGATTGTAATGCCTGCAGAGTTTCAATTGTTATTTTAATAGGACACTAACTAGGCAATGTGATGAACAATAGCCCATAGACTAATTTTTCATTTTCTTTTTCTTTTTCTTTGAGGGTATTGCAAAATTATGCAAACACCTTTGACACTTTTACTATTGTTTTTTTGCAAAGACTCTTGTCTTTAAGTGATATCAAAGACTCTTACTTTTTGCAATTTGGTCTTATTTCATTATGTACATGTACACATTAGGTGTCATTTCTTTTACTATTTAGTATGTGTTGAATATGTAAATGTAGCAGTGGATGGTTTTGTTTCAATTGACTTAAATGCACATTGGAGTTACTCTTTATTAGAAAACTTGGTAGTGAACTTAAAGTGTTATAATTGTCTTTTGCAGTAAAGTTTGAATTTGTCATATTTAAAGGGTTTTTATGTGTTTACATTTGATGTATCAGAAATCTCTTACCCCTTAAATACGTCGTTTTCTTCCCCATAATTGTTATAACTTATTTAATCCATTAACCATTTTGACATGTTTTTTTTATGTAGGGAATAAATCGTGAAACCAGATTTTGTACATTGAATAAAAATGCATTTCAACTATCAACAGTGTCATTTCTCTCTTTCTTTTCAACCTGAGACCAGGTAAGTATGAATCAATAACATTACATTAAATTTAACATTATAATTTAGATTAAAATATAAGTTATCTCATTTTTAAATACTAGCTCATAATATTTTAACCATAATAGTGTTTTGGAGGCTGTTGATGCCTTAAATTAATACAAAACATCAAAATAACTTTAAGAACGAAGAAGAACTGTTCTACAGCAATTTAGCAGGGTCATCATACTCTGCAATTGTCCCTGTACACATCAAAGTAAGTAATGCTTGTCAGCAGTTAAACAAAAGGGTGAAATAATATGCTGCCACACTTTTAAAACTTCAAGTTTAATTCGAACAGAACATTATGGATGATAAGCTTGGTTATGAGAAAATGTTTTCTATCCTTTTAATATGATCGCATATATTTAAGCACATGTTGAGTCTACAAGTGAAAGTAGTACCTTCATCAAGGACCAAAACTAAATCAGTATCAATCACTGTTGGAATTCTATGTGCTACTGTAATGACTGTACATCAGTGAAAGAACACAACCTTGGTTTGAGTATCAAAAGCAACCAAGCATGCAGTTAATACCAAAACCAGTATTGTTGAGACCCTTAGATAGACTTCCCCTCTCGCCATTCCCAACTTCATTTTTTTCCACCAGATGAATCGATTCTGTCCTGTGCTCTTAATTTCAGCTCCACCTTGAGCTTATATATTGAATTGTAGTTGACATATCCCTATTCCTTATATTATTATTATGGTTCCAAAATCGTTGACCTCATAATTCTGGCTGAGAACTATACACGAGTGTGGTGTACATACGAACCTCAACAATTACCTAACTTTTATTATTATCCATCTTATCCCAACTAGATTAGTTGTTGGATCTCCATCTTTTCGTGAACTTATTATGGTAGAAATAAGTGGTTTTTAAAAATATTGTTACATTACATATTGTAGTTGTATGGTTTTAAGGTTTTCTATGTGGCCATACGAAAATTAACACTACTACAAAAATGTCTAACCGAAATTAGTGATTGAAAAATTTAGTCACTATCAATAACTGAATTAGTAACCAAATTATTATTTTTCAGTTAAGTAACTGATTTAGTAACTGAATTTTTGGTCTCAGAAAATCAATTACTATTTCAGTCACTCTCTTGTTTCATTTATTTTTTAATTATTTTAATTAATATCAAATTATATTTTATTAATTCTTACCCTCCCAAATTTTATCTCCCCGCTCACAAATTTGAGAACTAAAGTAGGTGACCTTATTGCTTTTTGTGGCCTTATTGCTGACCATGAACATTGCCCTGAACTTTCACTCTGCTCCCAATTTCGTCCAACTCCGACCATTGAACCATGAGTTGTCAACTCCAACCACCTGAACACCCATCCTTAGCGACCTGAAAGCCCAACTCCGATGACCTAAAACCCAACCCAAAACCATGTGAACTTGAACACAACCCAATCCTTAGTTACCTCGAACCCAACCGAAACCCAAGTGACGTTGAACCACAACCACAACCTCAATATTGGCGAAGTTGAGGCCCAAACCTAACTCCGATGACATGGAACCCCAACCCTAACCATGACCCAAACCCTCGTCACGACATACCTGAAACAACTTGAACCCTAACCCAAATTTTAGTGTCGAACCCTAACCTGAGCCCAACGATCTCGAACCCCCACCCCAAACTCCGACGACCTCAAACCTCAAACCCCAACCCAAGAGAGGTCGAACTAGAACCCTTACCTTGACGAACTGAAATCCCAACCCGACGACCTCAAATCCCATTCCAAAACCTCATGAATGTAGAAGTTAATTTATTATTCAAAGATGTTGTTTTCAACGAGTTCGAGTTTCAATAATGATGGAGAAGGCAGATTTTGTGCAGAAGCTGTATAAGCGCATGCAGTTTTTGAAATTTCTGGATCAGTTTGTGATTGAGCCTACGGATGGATCTTCTGGTTCTTCTTTGACTGTTAGTTTGGGATTTGGGAAGGTTGGTTCTGAAGTTGCTCACCGAGCCAAGGGGCTTGGTATGAATGTCATTGCGCATGACCCATATGCTCCTACTGACCGCGCTAGGGCCATTGGTGTGGAACTAGTGAGCTTTGATGAGGTCATTTCTTCTATGGATTTCATATATCTACATATGCCTCTCACAGCTACTACATCTAAGATTCTCAATGATGAGACTTTTGTAAAGATGAAGAAAGGCGTTCGAATCATAAATGTTGCTCGTGGAGGGGTCATTGATGAGGATGCTCTTGTCAGGGCACTACATTATGGAATTGTAGCTCAGGTTTTTGCCATTTACATTTTCGAAGCAATAATAGATCACTTTAATGAAATAGAGAAGTAAATAGTTTGAACTCTGCTTGCTAAAGAGATAATAATTGTGCCATATCTTTATTTCAGGCGGATCTTGATGTTTTCACTGAGGAGCCACCACCCAAAGACAATAAGTTGATTCTTCATGAGCTCGTTACTGCAACACCTCATCTTGGTGCCAATACCATGGAAGCACAGGTAAGTTACATTTGGATATGATGGCAAATATGTCCTTAAATTCTATCTTCACAATTTTTTTAACACTCTTGAAAGTGATAACCAGGAAGGTGTGACTATTGAAATAGCAGAAGTTGTGGTTGGGGCTCTGAATGCTGCTACTGCAGTTAATGTACCAATGGTTCCCTCTGAAGTATCAAGAAAAATATTAATCCATTTCCTTTTCTTTATACATTATTTAATGATATTTCCATTGTTACTCTCCCTTACCTTGAGAAAATATTTGTAAACTCATTTATTTGTGTGTATCTAGCTTCTCATATTAAAATGGGTATTTTGAAGATGGTACCTATTTTATTGTTACATTATTAGTTGTTATTTGCACAAATGGTTTAAACTAAATGCTTACTGTGATGTTAAAGTTTGATTTGATAAATTAAGACAATTGGGAAATGGGAATACAGGTAAATCATTGTATTAGTGTTATTATCAAATTTGAAATTTTGGATACACTAGTGAAAAAAAGGGCTTTTACGTCACCCAATTGTCGTCGCATGTAAAAATATTCGACATAAATAAAATGCGGTGACAATTTTGTAAATAAGAGACAACTTTTACGTCGCAGATCCCAGCACGCGACGTAAAAAGTTCCTTTTATTTCCCCCCCGAACCACTCCCTGGTCTCGCGCAGTAAGGGTTTTTGAGAACGACGACGAGAATGACAACAACAGCTACCTCTGCACACCATTTTCGATCAGTTTGATAGTGAAAAACATCAACATTGTGTGTCATTTTATGAACTTGATATTTCTCCCCGATTGGATTCGAGTTTGAAATCATTTTTCGTCTACACTCAAGGTTAGTGTTCTATGTCATTGCTATATGTTTAAATTGAATCCGTGATTGTTTTTGGGGATCTCAATTACGTTATTGTATGAATGTCTCCACTGGATTGTTATTGGAATGTAATTATTTGTTTGAGTGTATTTTCGGCTTACACACTCCATTTATGTGCTTTGTTGTTTGTATATTAATTTCTTTTTTCATATAATTTTTAAATCTCTAAGAGTGACGAAACTTTATAACATAATATGAATCGAAGTTGGATGAATGCACGTCTTATTAGTGAAGAGTACGAAAAGGGAGTTGAGGAATTTTTGAAATTTACTAGTGAAAATGGAAAAGCTATGAAAGGGACATATTATTGTCCATGTGTTTGTTGTTTGAATCAAATTCGTCATAAACTTGAGGATATACGTGATCACTTGTTTGTTTATGGTATTATTAAGAATTATACAATATGGACATGGCATGGAGAAATATTAGACATCCCAGCTGTGTCAACTACAGACAATTTTGATGAAAGGATGGATGATAATCTAGAGGATATGATACGTGATATTGGTGAAGAAAATTTTATGAAAGCACATCTATATGATTCTTTGAAATCTGATTTTGCGCAACAATTGTACATAGGATGTAGTTTTACAAGATTATCAGCAACTTTAAAATTGTTTACTTTAAAAGCAAGAAATGGATGGACTGATAAAAGTTTCACCGAATTATTGGAGTGGTTGAAGGAGATGCTTCCTGAAGATAATACATTACCTATTCGTAACTATGAGGCAAAGAAAATATTATGTCCAATGGGTTTAGAGTACAAGAAGATACATGCATGTCCTAATGATTGTATAGAAATGATTTTGCTAAATTAAAGATGTGTCCGACATGTGGTTTGTCGAGGTTCAAAAACAAAGTTGAGGAAAGTAGTGGTGAGGAAGAACTAGATGGTCCCCCTGCTAAGGTGTTATGGTATTTGCCAATTATACCTAGGTTTAAAAGATTATTTGCCATAAAAGAAGATGCAAGAAACTTGACATGGCATGAAAAATGGTAGAAAATGTGACAATCTTCTTCGACATCCAACTGATTCTCCACAATAGAAAAGGATTGATGAAACCTTTCCAGAATTTGGTGCTGAGCCAAGAAACTTGAGAATTGGATTAGCTACAGATGAGATGAATCCTTATGGAAATTTAAGTAGTAAACATAGTTCATGGCCAGTTTTGTTGATCATTTACAATTTTCCTCCTTGGTTATGCATGAAGAGAAAATATATGATGTTATCTATGCGTTCCACTAGGGATATCCATGTTAGGTGATATAGGCAAGTAACTTTCTGAGGATATGCGTTTGAAGTTTTGCCTTTGCAGTAGGCTCTCTGGGGGTAAGTTTTTTGGCGATTTACTAGGGAATTGGTTGACTCCTTGGGGATGGAGTTGTGCCTCCTTGTTTGGTGTTGATGAGAGCTGGTTTCTTCAAGCTCTTATTCCTCTGGAGTTTTTTTGTTTTTTTGTTTGCTGTGCCTCTGAGTAGGCGGATGCTTCATTAGTGGTGAAGACTTTATACTTGCTTGCCTCCGAATAGGTTGATGTCCCTTTCTGGGGAAATTTGGCTCTCGCTCGCCAGATCTTGCTCTGAGCAAGGATTTTCATTTGATTTCGCCTTTTTTCGCGATTTACCTCTTTTTTATCGCGATTTGAAATTTGGCTTTTTCGGGATAATGCGTAAGCCTTTTTACTTTTTAGTCTCTTTTTATTACGCTAGCTTTTTCCCTTCTTCTTTTTTTGGGGAGGTCCACTAGGGATGAAATTTTCTTTCTTTAGTGATCCACCAGGAAATTAGTTGACTTCCTGGGGATCTGATTTTTTCTGGGATGGAGTCCTGGCTCCTTGGTTAATGTTGATGCGAGCTGACCTTGTAAAGCTCTTATTCTACTGGAGAATGGAGATTTCCTTATTCATCCTTTTTGTAGGGAGATTTACTTGGGGGTTTTTATTCGACCTTCTCTGTTGCGACCCTTTCTTTTGGATATCTGCTGGGGATGCAAGGGTTTTCTTCTTTTTTCCTTTTTTTTTGAGCCCTTGTTGGTATGGAGACTGGACTCTTTTGATTGTTGATGATGGTGGGCTCTTGAAGTCTTTATTCTCCATTGGGGAGTGTGGAGGCGACTTTGGGTGAGTGTGCTCGATGACTCATGTGGTGATGCAGCTGAGTCATGAGGTAATCTTTTTGTTTTGCCTCCGAGTAGGCAAGGATCCTTTTGGGGAT